ATATTGAATTTAGATTTTAATAATAATAACAAAAACTTTGACAAGCTTGAATGCTATATTTCAAAAAAGCTAGCAAATAAAGATATTGATATGTTTGTCTAGTGGAAGATAACTAAAGAAATATATATTTTATTGTATATTGGACAATATTAATATTAACATAATAATAATAATAGATATACCAAACACAGTTTTCTCATCCTGCTTGTATAGCTCATGACTACTTGGCAATCTTTACATCTTTCATTGTTTCCAAATATGCTTTTTTTGCAAATAGAAATATAATTACAAACAAAAGAGCTAGTTTAGTACCTAAAACTGTAAAAATAGCACAATGTCTTTACTTATAGAATCAGGAACTATTGAAAGAAAAGTTAAAAAATTAAATACTATATAGCTGAATAATTAAATAAATAATTAAATAAGGCTATATTAATTTCTAACTAATATTTAGACTCATCTTTTTTTAATAATAAAATATACTTGAGCACTCATATGTAAATATAAAAAAAATATTTCAATAAAAGCTATTAAAATAAATTAGTATTAAATGGCATATTTCTTTTTTAAATAGCAATTCAACATAGCTATTTATAAAGATGTTAATTGGTTTTGCAATAATTATTAGCCAACTTTGAGCAATGTTTGTACAAAATTGGCATTTTTAATTAATATTTGTCTGATAACTAAAGTTATAGAGAAGTTACTTCTCTATAACAGTCTCTAATAGAAATTTATCAGTTTTGTATTAGTTTCTGAGTAATTTAGATAGGACCAATTAGGGATCGATCAACAAATTTTCTCTACTGTTTAGTCTCTAATTGGTCTCATCTACTCAAAAATTAATATGAAAACTAATAAACTTCTATTAGAGACTATTATAGAGAAATAATTTTTCTATAACTATTTATTGGATGAATTTTAATTAAAAATACTAATTCTTTACAAATCTTGCTTAAAGTCAACTAATAATTATTGCAAGACAAATTATTTTACATTGAAAGATATTTTTGATGATTTTATCTAAATAGTATAGCTGTTTTGTAGGTTCATACAAAAATACAAGTGTCTAAAAAGCATATACTAGGTTGATTTGCTATATATAGCAGTGAATAAATATTAATATAAATAATATTGTTATCTTGTATCTTCATCTATTATATAAAACAAATAATAAATTGTTTTTTATATAAAAAAATATACAAAATTCATTGTAGTTAATTTATTACAAAAGTAATTATAAAAAAACTCAATAGATTATTTAATTCTAAAAACTATTTTAAGTGTTACTATATGACTAAAAAGTGTCTTGCTTATAGCATATAAAATGAAGTAGCACAAGTAAGTAATATGACACACTTGTGTTTTTTGATGATATACTGTGATACACAGATTAGAATCAAAAAATTTTAGTACTATTCAATTTATTTTACTAAGACAAATCGAATAGTGCCAAATTTATTTTATTTGAAGCACAAGAATATACAATATAATCAAAATTATATTTTGGATTCTAATTCTAACAAATTTGATCTAATGTAGATCTAATATGATTAATTTAGTCATATACCTAATCAGGGGCAAAATTTTTTGAATAAATCATTTTGGCAAAAAAATCATTGATACAAACTATCTTTTTTCTTATCATTGATAAAGGTCACTAAGTATGCTATAATACTCTACTTCATCTTAACATTAAGCAAACTTTAGAAGTTGAGTTTGATTTAGTCTGATTTGATAGAAGTACTATTCAGACTTAAACTAGTTTGCAAACTTCAGACCAAACCCAAATCAAACTCAAACTTGATAAAAAGTTTAAAACAAAAAGTTTGAGTCTAGTTCAAAAATTAAACTGAAATCAAACTTAACAAAAGTTTAGTTTGGTCCAGTTTGATAGAAGCTCTATGTCTGTTTTTGAAACAAAGGATCAATAGAAAGAATATGAATAATATATTAAGATATTATTAATATTAATTTTTATTAAATATATAATAAACTAATATATATATATTTTTTTTTTTACTATTTATTCTTATTTATTAATTCAATTTGTAATTCTAATTTCAGAAATAACATATATATTTTTTAAATCTTAGAATTAAAAGATATAATGAACTATAGAAGCATTGCATATATATTTGAAAAGAATACTGTAATTAAAGTTACTATTAGCTATCAAGTATTAAATATAGTTTTAGATAAATTAAATAAATGTATTAATTTAAATTATATTTAAATTATATTAATTCTGCCTTCTATATATATATATAAATAGATCAGATTCTATTAATGATAAAATTGCAAAAATACTGCATGTCTTAAAATACTTTTTTTAGAGACTATTAGAGTCTGAAGAAGAAAAGAAAGAAGATGAAAGTAAATAATAATCAAAAAAATAAAAATTTATATATAATAACAAGAAAATAAAAGAAGAATTTATATATAATAATTAAAAAATAAAAATAATTATATAAATACCTAAGATAAAAATAATTATAAGATGCCAAATTTTTAAAAATTTTAATTTTTCTCAAAAAAAACAATATTAAAAACCTATAAAATAAATAGCAAGATAATAAAAGAAAAATAATATATATATTTAAGCTAACTGCTTAAAAATGCAAATAAAATCTTTTATTATTAATTATTGCTAATATACAAGAATATTTACAGTTTTTTTAAACATTTAAAAAACTTAATTTTTTTTGGATTATTACTGATATTTTTGAACAATACTCTAATTTTATTAGCCAAATGCTTAGCTACTATAGAGAGGATTATTGTAAAGATATATATATTGTTTCCTATATTATTGTTATATAACAATACTAAATTTTGTATATTATATTGATATGCAGTCAAAAAATCATTTGTGAGTAGTATTGATCTTTAATATTGCTAGTATTAAATATTTTTTCGATTGAAAAAAAGTGTATTTTTTGTATATCTGTTTGTAAAAAGATATATGTTTTATTTTAGATCTCTTTGTTAAGCTTACAATAAATAGCAAAGTAATTTATTGTTTGTTGCTCATCTGAACACTATGGACAGCTTTATCAATTAAAGTGTTCATATATTTTAGACAATAATCTAAAAGTAATGCTTTGTAAAATGTTTTTTAAAATATATCTATTTTTTTATTATTTATTGGTATAACAAAAAGCCAATTGTTGTTTGTTAAAGGTATTTGAGACTGAATAGTATTGTTAAGTGAATATGAGATTTTCCAAAAGTTTAAAATTTTTTTGACTGAGTATTTATTTACTTAAAAGTCACTTAGACATAGATCTTTTTTGCTCTATAGCCAATTAAAGATAGTATTTATTTTGTTCTAAGCTTTTTTTCAAGCAAACAAGTAGGGTTTTCATTCTTTGGGCCAAGTTTTGATTCTAATAACCTCAGTATTTAAGGCATAATATATGTTTTCATATACTTTTGTTTTATTATTATATTAAAAAACTTATAAAATAAATATAAAAATAATAAAAGAAGAAAATATAGAGATTGGACTCTATAGCTTAATAGTAAAGCTGCTAATTTTTTACAAACAAGGTAAATAGTTCAAGTTAGGCTAAAGGTAAAAATCTTAGGATTTTAACTCTGTAACCTATAAAGAGCCAAAATTGAATATGAAGCCCTGTAAAAAGTCTCAAGATAAAGTACAAGAATAGATTAAGAATTCTCAGAAGAAGACCAACTCTGCAAAGTGAAGGCACTACATGTAACAGTAGTATTACAAAAGATTTGGCTACAATAATATTGTATATATAAATCATCAGAAGATAAGATAATACTAACATCTCTGTATCTAACTTATAGAGTACTTGATTAAAAAAGTAATATCATATAACTAAACTAAAGTAGTAAGTGATGCAATGCATACAAAGAAAATCTGTAACAAAAGATTGATTTAACCAAAATTAAAACATCTTAGGTAGGTATCTTTAAAAGTAACTTGAAGAGTATTCTTTAAGCAGTCATACATCACAACTTAGATGATAAGCACTATATTCATATGTAATAAGTCAAGATTTTAGGCCTTCTTACAAGACCAAGCTGATAGTATATTAGTACATAATTAGTAATACATCTACAAAAAAGCCTATAGAAAGTATATGCAATCAAGTGGCAGACTAAACCAATTATGAAAGTATATCTAAAAAGAGTATATGATAAACTGCAGATTGATAATCTAGATATCAATAAATTTAGCCATGCTATTAGGATATTAAAAAGTAAATTAGACTGTATAAACCAAACTAGTAGCAAGAAGAACAAGAAACTGCCAGACTCAACCAATTTAGAAGAAAGATGAGTTACTGCAGATAGTAAACAAGAGGCTGTCAGATAAGAAAAGTAAAGAAAATTAAAGATATAACAAAGTGATTTACAGCCTTTCTGATAGTTTAATAACAATAATTAAAATATATAGTAAAAGCTACAAAAATAGAATACATAGAAAAATATAAATATAATGTCACATTAGATGTCTAGAAGCAAAATAGATTCTAGTAACACAAATGTAATGTAACTATATGTAATAGTAATGCAATAAACTAAATAAAGTATAAGTTATAATTTGGCATTATAAAAAAAATAAAAATAAAAAAATAAAAAAATAAAAAATATATATATATTACTATATGCTTTTATATATATCTTAATAATTTTAAATAAATATTTAGATAATAAAAGAAAAAAAATATATTAATATAAATCTTTATATATTTTTATTTTGTTTTATATATACTGTCAATTATAGATATAATGAATACCCTTACATCAGATTTATAAGTTTAATGGATTAAATTTAAAGTACCAAATTTTTAATAGTAATTTAAAGACCTGCGAGTCAATAGTGTAGTGGTTAGCACTTCCAGGTTGCATTCACAAGGTTGCCAGTTCAATTCCAACTAGGGGAAAAAGCTGTGCCAGGACCACAATTGTTATGATCTTAAGAAGATTTCTCACTACTACTTCTGGACAAGAATATTACAAGAATGAATGATCTACGAGGATTGCCTACTTCCAATTTCAGACAAAGTACTACAGCAAGAACAAGTCGAGTGACATAGCCATGGGGTTACACAATGCCCAGATAAGAAGATAATCTGACAAAAAACATCGATAACATAAGGATCCCAAATTAAAAAATTATCATAAAAGGCAATAGAGATAAGGAGACGGAACCTAAAAGAACCATTGTTGATAGGGAACTATGGACTCGAGTAAGGGATCCTACACTGCAGAGCCAGGGACCTGGGTTATCACAATAGTGATAAACTTGTTAATAATGTGATATGAGGGAGCTAGGGAACACCACTAGTGATGTATATAGCAACTAAATATATAAACCTGTAGGTTCCAAACATTAAAGTTAATAAAGAAAAATTAGAGTGCTACACGCATCCCACGATGTAATATATCAGAGATAGTTAAAAAAAAAAATAGTAATTTAAAATAGATATAACAGATTTAATAACAAAAAATTTATATTACATATAACAGAACTTCTTGCTAGCCCACTTTCTAATTTTATTAAGGTTTATTTATTTATATAACGGTTTCACAGATATATCTGACAATTAGCCAATCAAACTGCAGATCATTTTCATGTGATTAAGCAAAAAAGTAGTTATACAAATACATAGTGCTTATAAAAGGGTGCCCTAATTTTCTTTACTAGTTAGATTGCACCACTTTTCATATACTAATTAAATTATAAGATCAGGTATAACAAAAAAAGTTAAAGTTTTTCAAAAATCGCCAATAGCTTAAAATTTACTTACAAAACTGCCTTTCATGTTCTAATATAAAAAATTCTTTGCAAAATTTTAATATAGTACACAGTCTATTAGACCTTTATACTGATTCAACAATGCTTTCATTATTTGATTAAATAAAAATTTCTAAGTCAATTTCGTCTAAGATTTCTTTTCGTCCAATAGGAACTGGTAGGGAAAATTAGTAAATCCCTTATAAAAGATAGGAATTTGTCTTCACAGATTTTTAAGTGCTGCTAATTTTAGTTTTTTTTTGTAAGCAAAAAAAAAAAACTTTGCTAAAAGTTCTTTATTATGATAGTGTAATATGAGCCTTTATAAAAACAAATGCATTATACTCACTTGCATTAGCATCTGAATTACTTATTTACAGACACTCTAATATTTGAAAATAACCATTCTATCCATTTTTCACACTTCAACCTATTTTATAAAAAAACAAAAAAAAAAAATTAAAAAAAAAATTAAAACAAAAAATTAAAAAAAAAAAAACTTATCATGAACTTCCAAGGTTCAATCTTGAGCAGGACTATTGGCTTTGGAGTTTGCAACTTCAATGGCTCAATTGAACTTCTGGATGTTTAAAAAAAAAAAATTCAAATAAAAAAAATAATAATAAAAAGTTTATCAAATAAATGAATATCTAAGGTTCAATTTTGAGCAAGACCATTGGTTCTAGAGTTACAACTCTAACAGCTTGATTAAACTTCTAGATTTTTTTTTAATTATCTGTCAATGAAGTTGCAGGTACATAGAAATGTTATGCAAGGATGATTTTTTTTTTCTTTTTTAAGAAAAAAATTTCAGATTTTTAACACAATGCATTTCATCTAACTGTACAATAAAATAGTAACTAAAACTAAAATATCTGTTAAAAAAAATCATCTTATAGCTAAAGAAAAGAAGAAAATTTGTGAAAAAAAGTAAAAGTTTCTATCTATCCTGAACAATGAACTTGTTGAAGATTATAGCATCAAAAGAACATGCATATCTAATATTCTTAAACAATCTTTTAAATTGTTAAGTCTTAATACAATTAATAAAGCTGAGGCAACCTGTAAACACAATCGTCAATCAAAGTGGCCCAAGTTGGATGAAGCCATGCATATCTGGGTAGAAAGTGCTCTCATAGCAAATATGAATTTAAATCAAGAAGCCCTAATTATCAAAGCCAAAACCTTCGCACAGTTCTAAGCATTACTGATTTTAAAGGTACTGGTTGGGTTAATGGTTTTTAAGAATGATTTGGTCTCAGTCAGTATAATAGAAATAATAAGGCCCTAAGTTTCCCACCAGTTGAATCTCTGAATGAACACAAAGAGTGTTTTCAAGTAATATATGAAGAGTATATACTTAACAATATTTGGAATACAGATGAAACATCCCTTTGTTGAAGGATGCACCTATCAAAAACTCTTGCACATGGTCCTGTCTCTGATTATAAAAAGAATAAGGTATGAGTGACTGTGATACTTGTAACAAATGCAACTAGAACAAAAAAGCTTCCTTCTGTGTTTATTTATACTAATGAAAATCTATGTGCCATCTGAAATTTGAATAAAAAAAATTTACCAGTCTGATATTATTAGAACAAAACTGCATAGATGCAGGTTTTTACATTTAATAACTGGTTAGAACATGTTGACAAAACAATGAGGCTCCAAAATTGCTATATTCTTCTTTTTGTAGACTATTGTACTACCCATATTTGGAATGTTGAACTTACCAATATTTGTATTAAAAAGATACTAAAAAATACAACCATCTATCTTTAGCCGTGTGATGTCGGCATGATCTATTCATTTAAATGCTATTATAAAAGCATTTTTGTAAAAAATCTGCTTGATGCATTCAATAAAATGAAGACTATAGGTTTTTCTTTACTCAATAAATTTAGTATTCTCAATGCAATTAATGCTACCTCAGATGCATGAAGCAAAGTTACTTAAGAAACAATTATGAATGCTTGGCTAAAAACAGATATTCTTCCTCAATACTGAGCGATAGAAAAGAATCAAATATGTTAGCAGTTAGAGTTACAGTTAAAAAATGAATTTAATTAATTTGATAATCTAATAACTAATTTGGCAGTAAGTAGTAAAATTGATAATCCTATGGATGTGAGAGAATTTGTAGATATCGATACCAATGTTGCTTTTGAGATGCCATCTGACGATGACATAATCTGTAATATTAGGAATAAGGATGACCATCTCACTAAAGAAGAAATATTAGAACTAGCACTTAAAATTACAGATTACAATGCTTTGAAAGCTTTGGATTTAATTAAAATATATCTTTTACAACAACCTGATAATTTTATAGCTACTGATAATGATAGAAATACTGTTCGTAAGTTGAAAAGAAGGTTTTATGATTCTCTGCTCTTTGAAAAAAGCAGGTTAACATTACTGAATTTTTTTGCAATAAGAACTAAATAATTTGGTTTTTTTTTTGACTTTTTTTTTTTTTTTTTTTTTTTTGGTTCTTTTTTTTTTTAAAAAAAAAATGTCTTAAGAATTACTTTAGCACTTATGTCTAATCCTCGCAGCTTTTAACAAAAAACTTGAAGATTTTTTTTTGACATGATAAAAAAATAGATGCAGACTTTTTTTGCTTTATTAATAATTGTTTAATTTATTAATCTTGAACATTAAATTTGTATAAGATAAAGTTTTGTTCATCAGTTGTGATAATTTACAAATGAAAGAAATAATAATTTAGGATTATATTATTAATTGGGAAATTGCTCAAAATCTGAAGATATGTACTCAAAAAACTGCTTATCTCTTATTAAAAATAATATAAAGTAGAATTTATTTCTTTATGTAATGCATTACCAATGTTTTTTTTTTTATTTCAAACTATAGTATGAACCTTTTCAAGTGTTATTAATGAAGCACATGTAATTAAAATTGCTTCATAGATTGATAGAAGAGCTATATTTAAGGTAATGCAAAATTGATTTTTTGTTTTGTATAATCTGATCGAGCACTTGAAAAATGTGTACTGGGTTTGCTTTTGAACTATAAATTAGATTTCAAGATTAGGTATAATGTAATATGATCAGAAAAATTTAAAATATATGTTCACTCTGCCAAAAATTGCTTATGACTCAAAAATCAGCATAAGAAACCACCTTTTGAGCTTTAATAAAAGGTTTTCATTAGACAATTTACTATTACACTACTTGCCTCTAGCTCTTAATTCTAATTCTAATTCTAACTTTAACTTTAACAAATTTTAAAGAATTCTGTCTATATCACAAACCTGGTACACATTGTCTAAGAGCTCAGATCAACTTACTTTTAAATTTTTTAAAAAATTTTAATTATGTTAATTGGTTTATTTTTATTATTTATTTTTTCTGCTGTTTTATCTATAAAGCTGGGATTATTAGCAAAAAAAAAATCCAACCAACCAATCCAAGTTTCAGATCTATTTATACAAAATAAAAAATGAACTTCACATGATCTAATTAAAGAATTGTTAGATCAATTGTGTAGTTATCAGGGTTAAAGATGCTAATAGAATTGTTAGCATCCTATTTGTTAGGAAATTTTAAGTTATTTAAGCAGAAAGTGCATTAGATGTTAATAAAGACTTACCAAAATATTTGATCATAGTTTATATAAAGTAGGTAACATTTTAATGGAATCAATTTTACAAGTCCTCCAAAACAATGAAAACAACTTAATATTAATTTGATGTTACAAACTAAAGCTTTATAAAATTATGCATTTATTGAAAATTTAAAAAAGATAACTTTTTTTTTTATATAGTGCTACAATTTAAGAATTGAAATTGGATGATAAAAGAGTATACATGAGTTTCTATAGAGTTAAAAAATCTGAATTTTTATTTTAATTTGATCTTATTATTTGACAATAACTATTTCCACATAGATAAAAAATAAATATGTGGGTTAATTAGAAGACATATATATGTGAAAACAGAAGAAACCATTAACATTACACTAAGTAAGAGATTATATCCATCACACTTGAAGTTATATATAAATAATTTCAGTTTAGCTAATCACCCTGTATGAACGACAGAGTGAGGGATTATATTCATAACATATATTTTAGAATAAATACAAAATAAATAATTTTATTATTGACTGACTACATTGTGTAAAGGATTAACGTATAACATTGACAGTTCCTCCTGTTATATGTAGGTTAATTGAATAATGTATATATATACGTGTTAATTATTTTATATATAAATATTTATATAACAAAATCTAATCTAATACTATTATATAGATATAATGAATATGCTATATAACAAAATTTTTTTGTTAGCCCAGATTTTTGTTATATCCATAGTTGACAGTACTATAAAGTTATTAAATAAATATTAGTAATTGTATATTAATATATATATACTTTTATATATATCTATAACTTACTATAATGTTACTAACATGCAAGATGAATATCTGAATAATAAAAGAAAAAAAAAGTATATATTTTTTATATCTTTTGTATACTTATATCTTGCTTTGATGCTAACATCTATTTTTTTTTTTTTTTTTTTTTTATAAGCAGTTACATTAATGCTTTATTAAAATTTTTGAAATTACTACTGTAATTATATAAATTTAGTTAACAACTAAGCCTAGCATCACTCAGCTATTCTAGTAGCACCTAAGTGCAATCTGCTACATTACTTCTAGCAGAAGTAAGCTGCTTGTCTAACTACTTAAAGTCTATAATGAAAGGGTCTTTCTCTTTCATGACAAGCTGATTAATTGTCTTCCTAACTTTTTTTTTTATTTGCTCTTCTTTTTCTTTTGTTTTCTTCTTTTTTTCTTCTATTGCTTGCTGATTAGCCTTTCTTTTCTTCTTTATACTTGACTTTTCTTTTTCCTTTAGTTTTTTTTTTTTTCTTTACTTGTTATTTTTTTTTCCTTTTCCTATGCATTAACCTTTTCGCAATGAATTCTTCAGACTTGTTCATAAAATGTATTTCATGTTGTTTCTGCCAATATGTTTGCAAAATGTTGTTTTGTTTTCATACTCAAGATTTGAGATAACCTGTCTTGCATTGTTCTTGGAATTTGGCCTTTGATCAGTGCTTTTCTTATTTCTATTTCTTCTTATTCTGTTTGTCCAAAAAGTACTGTATATAATACTTGAGATAGAACTCATATTTTTTTTTCTTCTTTTAAGCTGTTCCATGCTGTCACAATAAATACTTTCTGTATTCTTTTCCATAAATTTGCTTGTTCCTTATATAATGCCAAGTGTTCTTGTGTTTCTTTAATTTTGCTTTGGCAAACTTGGCATTCAGCTGTTGTATATATATCTGGTCTTCTTTTATTAAGTTCTTCCAATGTTGGAAGTTTGTCTAAAATCTATTTCATAAAAGCACTTCTTCTTGTACTGCTTCTTCTTGTTAGGCAGTATACTCCTTTAGATGAATCTAGCTTTCTCCAAAAGTATGTCCAATCATATATCATTAGTTCTTTTTCTGGCTCAATATTCTTGATCACTATTGTTTCTTTCTATTCTACTTCCAGTCTGGCATTTGTTACTATTTTACATAGAAGTCTTGCAGGTATGTTTATTCACTTGTTTTCCTACTCTAGACAGTATTTTATCTTTTCATGGCTAACTTCTTTTGGAAAAATTATTTTTTTGCTTAGTGTTTCCTTCTTCGCAAGACTATCAGCTTTATCATTCTATCTATTTTTACTATGACTTTTAACTTTAACCTACTTTATCTGTATGTTCTTTGTTTTTACTATATCTATTATCTTCAATATCTATAGTGCATTTTTCTTTTTAAGAATCTTGTTTCTATTTATACACCCTAATCCTTTACTAATGTTTCTAATTGCTGCATTGCTATCTGTAAATATTACTAATTTTTTTCTTTTTGGCATTGTTAAGATTGCTGCCTATATTGTTAGCATCTCAGCTGTAATAGACATAGGCCATCCTTTTACTTCTAATGCTACCTCTTCTTCTGACCAATTTTGTGCTTCAGTTATTTGTACTCAACCTATATCCATATTTTTGTCTGTTACTTCTTCTTCATTTCTTTTATTTGCTGCACCATCTGTATATATTGTATATTTGTTTTTGTCTCTTAAAATATTTCTTCTTAAAACCTTTACTAGCTCTTGACTAACATTCTCTCTTATTTTTTGTTTCCTAATTGGTTCTATTTCTAGGCCTTCTAATGTCTTTAGTCTTATTAATTTTTGTTCATTTTTTATTAGTTTCTTTGTTCTCATATATTCTGTTAGTTGGTTGGTATCTGCCTTGATTATATTATTATTCTTTCCTATTAGCACATCTGGGACCATGTTTATATTATTGTTGATTCTTATCCAATATTGGCAGCTATTTTCTTTTATCTTTTCATCTCTTGAACACCTCTTGCATTTGTCGATTTTTGTTATTAAGTTACTTTCTATATTATGCATTTGCCAATGTTCTATTAGTAGCTTCTCTTTCTTCTTTTTAACTATTTTTTCTATTTGCCTATTCTCTGTTGCACTATATATTATCCATTCTTTTTTTCTTCTATCTTTTGACAGAGTTCCTTACTTGATCTTCATTGCCTGTGTGTTGCATCTGCCTATTTTAAATTGTTCTTTAACTTCTCTGCTTTCAGTTCTGTTAAACAGTTTTGTCTCTATCACTTTGAATCACTCTGCCTTTTTGCCTTTGCTTAACTGATTCTGGTAAGTCTTAAATTGTTGCCATGTTATTAGCCTTTCTCTTTTTGTATCGAATAGTTGGTTAAGGTATATGAGTCCTGCTTCACTTATTTTGGGTCCACTTTTTTTTCATAGCTGTGGTTCTACTATATCGATTACTTTAAGACTATAACTATTTGTTGTCCATAGTTCAGTTTCTGTATTTATATTTATTCCTAACTCTCTTGCTTTGACTATCATTAAGCAGGCTAGATTGTTCTTCCAATATAACTTATCTTTTGGCAGTTTTTGTACTTTTTATATTTCTTTTATCAAATTTGTCTTTGACAACCCTGCATTATTCTTAGTTTTGTTAATTGCCCTAGTTTATCCTTTCTGTTTAGTCTTACTACTAGGCCTCCTATTTGTTTCATTATTAGTTTTTGTTACAAGGTTCTGCAGTTACCGAAATCCTTATATTCTATTATGCAGTTTTTTAATGTTTTTGATAAGCCACTTTTTTGTTTTGCTAAGCATATCATTGGTTGGTGTATTTTATTTATTTCTTTCTCTGATATCTTTATTAATTGCAACATGTAGCTTAATTTTGGTATTATTATTATATTGTTTATATATGCTATTTGGTTTATCATTATTTTTTTATATTTAAGGTCTCTTATTGTTTGGTTTATTATCTCTTTTGCTTTCTTCTTTACTAAAACTTCTTGCATTCTGTTGTTTAGTCAAATTTCTAATGAACATACTATTTTGTTTCTTGGCTCT